TATCTGGGCATGACACATCCTAGGTAATACATGTAAGTATGATATATCCAAAAACTAAGTCAATCGGATCAGTATATTTAATGCTAGAGCTGATGGGAGAAGATGCCTCAAAATTTGCCGAAAAAAGCAATTCCCACGCTTCTAACATATTTTCGAACGTCACTCCCTCCGGAATCGCAAGGCAAATCTATTGATCATAGTTTCAAGGGAATCGGTGAAGAACTGAGCTCAGTAGAGCTGAAATATCCGAAACATCCAAAAAAAAAAAAATTGGGCCGTGCCCTAAGTTCCGCAACTGGCTGTAATCGCACAAATGCAAAGGCACGTTAGGGATGGGAACATCTAAGTATTCACATGTCGAGGGAACAAGAAAGAACAGTGAATAGAACAGAATCTGAGAAGGGACAGGGAGGTGACACCGGGGGCAAGGTTCCACACATGTGGAAACCACATGCTTTAAACACATGTGGTCTGCAGGTGGGCTGTGACACCTTTGAAAGGGCATCCTTTGTTGACAACAAAGGACTGCCTAATCCATACATGTATTTTAGTCAGATTGTATGCAAGTAGAACAAAGGTTCAAAATACATATCTTACATTTTGACCTTATTTTGACTAAAAATGGAAGCAAGCTGCAGGTTAGCCCCAGCTGCCTCATTTGTCCGGCCCACTGCCAGTGTCAAACAGCCACCCCATCATCGCTCTTTGTGCACATTGTCTTTGTTAGTGAGCTACTACCCTTGTACATAGCCTTTGTCGGCATGGAACCATACCTGGGTGTCATTGTTGATAATCTGAAACTATGCCCAGACACTGTCTTGAATGGGCTACAGGGATGCCCCAACGCTGCCATTGTCGGGCAATCATCTCACCCGGACATCTCCTTTGTCAGCACACAGCCACACCTTTGTCCTTCAGGTGGCTCAACTTTGTTCCCACTTTGTCTGTAGAGACTATTGCGCGCTCACCACCCACTGACCACTAAATCACATGATCACATTTCTGCTCCATAATTCCTATAAAAATACTCATAAAGAGCAGAAAAATGGCCTGATTCAGGTGCACCCAAAGCGCCAACATGCACCCAAATGCAGGTGGCACAGCAGGATGCACACTGATTATCAACAATGACACCCAGGTATGGTTCCATGCCGACAAAGGCTATGTACAGGGGTAGTAGCTCACTAACAAAAACAATGTGCACAAAGAGCGATGATGGGGTGGCTGTTTGATACCGGCAGTGGGCTGAACAAATGAGGCAACTGGGGCTAACCTGCAGCTTGCTTCCATTTTTAGTCAAAATAAGGTCAAAATGTAAGATATGTATTTTGAACCTTTGTTCTACTTGCATACAATCTGACTAAAAGACATGTATGGATTAGGCAGTCCTTTGTTGTCAACAAAGGATGCCCTTTCAAAGGTGTCACAGACCACATGTGTTTAAAGCATGTGGTTTCCACATGCGTGGAACCTTGCCCCCAGTGTGAATGCAACTGAGACAAGCTACAAACTGCAACCGAGACAAACTACAAACTGTTTGAGCTGGCTTATAGGCATCTCTTCCCCGTGAATTTATTCACGGGTAGCAGCTAGTATGAATATATTTTGAATATATCCAGATGAAAAATTGAGTTCAATCGGCACCTAAAGGGGTCTAAAGACTGAAGCATGGATGCTCCTTTGTATCAGAATCTCTCACTAAAGCATACGGACTTGGAACCTAGTGGGCGACAGGCTTCAACTGTCATCAACATCAAGGGTCACCTAATTTTAATGGTTCAATGCCCGGCAGGTTACCGATGGCTTGCTGGTGCGGTGATGCTGGATGGTCGACTTTCATGGTCCGAACTGTGCCGGTCGATGTTCCGGGCCAGCGGAGAACCACTTCGACCATAGTCAAATATATTTGAATACGATTGGGCCCGTATCGTATTATATTCATCTTGTATCATATTCATATTCAGATGTATTCATATTCTCAGTTGATCTTGGAGGCCGCATCATATTTGTATTTACTTGAATATATCCAGAATATATTTTACCATATCGTATTTTTGGCCAGCACTACAGATTCTCTCCACGACGCCTGGCTCTTCTATGAGGCCATCGGCTCCCCTGTTGCCACCCATACTCGCTAGATCCCGCATCCTTCCTTTGCACGTCAAATTCGAGCAGTGCTTACACCAGGGGCAAAGAACGACACATGCGGACTGCGGGTGCTTTAAACGCATGTGGTCCGCATGTGTGTGTGACATCCCACAAAGGTCTTTGTAACATTTATGTCTTTCATGTATTAAGTACTGCTCAGTGCATGTGTCAGCATGCTACCACGCCTGCACATCGTCTTTGTTGGCCTGTCATTGTGTGTGCACACCGTCTTTGTCAACATCCAACAATACCCGCACACCACCTTTGTCGATGCGCAACAGTGCCCGCACATTGTCTTTGTCGATGTACAGCTATGCCCGCACACTGCCTTTGTCGGGATACGACCCATCCACACGCTGCCTTTGTCAGCACGCGACCACGGCGCCCATGTCGGATGCAGCTGAAGGGTGGGCCTTTGTGAAGCCGCTTCAGTATTTTGGCAGCGTGACCCGGTGCATGACCAACGTAACTCTCGCACGTGCCTTTACTCCCATTTCAGCATCCCACTCAAGTTCTCAGAGAGTTGGATCCACCAGGAGAGAGGTCTATAGACCTGTGGACCTTGGACGTGCAGTCTTCTTTGTAGACCTCGATGGACTTTGAATTAATGTAGACCTTGGAATGGACCGCACCAGCATACATCTGGAAACACATTCTGCCAGAATAGACATGCCCTTTCTGTGCTAGATGGACTCTTTCTACCAGAGACTCATTTAGATGGATAGACGGCCATAGTCGAGCGTAGACATCGGCTAGAGATTGGTAGCACGTGGTTCAGCTTCCCATCAAGTTCAGATGTTGATCTTGTCAGATCTGTCCCGTTCTGGCCATCGCCCTGTTGCATTGTTGAAGTCTTTAGTTGCCCAGAATGGTGAGGGACTTTAAAAAATTGTGAAGTCCTGTTCCCGAGCACGTGAAATGATGGCAGCGGTGAAGCTATAACAAGCGCGCCGTTTGTGATCTCTTCTGACCTTCGCCTTGCCTTCACCCACATTGTAAGCACTACCCACAGCTGCCCAGCTGCCCTCCCCCACCCCTCCTCCTTAAGGTTGGGAATCACTGGCATTGTCAAGTACGTACGTTTCGATTTTCCTTCTCCGACACCTGATGTGTAAGTCCATTCCCACCATTTCATCTTTGAGGGCTATGAATCATCAGTACGTTGTGATGCGGACTGCGGTGCTTTAAACTGCCAGATGTTGGGGAGATCCGGGCTATGTTTAAATGCTCGTCCTCTAGGGGGAATTTGTTCTGTCGCGGTAGACAAGTACGTAGGGAGGTTTAAATATTATTGGTGGGGATATCTGTACAAGGATTCGAACAGTTAGTTCAAAATCCTACTAGCTAGGGTGGTCTGAGCGAACTCCGATGCCTAGTTAGCCTTCTCGGGTTAACGGAGATTGAATCTGTTCCACACTTCCTTGGGGAGGAGCTTTGGAAGGCGATGCGGGGTCCAATTCGTCAAGTCCGAGGTGAAATATGGATTTGGGGGCTTCCTGGACCACGAACCACAGTCGTCCGAAGTATCTTTGAGTCGTAGATCGTAAGACCGGGGCATTTATGTGTTCACGATAACGTTCCAGCAATTCCTCCTCCCTTTCCCCCTCTTTGTGCCTCTACGGAGTTTCCTCTCTCTACTTCTCACCCGTTCGCTTGCTGAAGGCGACTCCCTGCGGGCTCTGCACCACCAACTTCCTTAGCTAGCAGCTCCACACGAACTCCGAAGACCTCGTTGTGCTGTTTGAGAGATTTCACTGCCTTACTTGCGTAGGGGAGGAATAAACGGTTCGATTTTCTCCGGCGCTGAACTTTTTATGCCAAATATAAACTCCGTTCGCTGTCTGACAGCGGCAGGGGAGTACCGGGGTCACTTTACTGTGTAACTCGACTCCGGGTGACCTCTAGGTGATGTTCGGGGCGGATATTTAGCTACTCCTAAGCTGGCTAAGGCTTAGAAGGTGAGGATGTGGGCCGAAACTGAGATGATATTTTGGTAGACTAGCTGTAGTATTTATACCCCAGCCCAAGGCTGTGCCGGAGTTGTTCCTTTGTGTCCCATACCTGTTCGCTCGCACGCTCCTCCGCCCCGGAGTTCGCTTATGACTCATTCTAGAACTCCGTGAACCCTTACCCGCACCATCTTTGGTCAAGCACCGATTCCGCAACCCGGACTTGTCGGCCCTAGTCTCGGACACTCTATGTCCGGTCCTAACTCGCCTCCTATCCGGCTTCCGCCTGCGACGGCTCGATAGTGTAGTGGAAACGCACTCCGTATCCTTTCACCCCAGTGTTTGACTTACGGAGAGTCCGGAGTTCGATCCTCCGTCGAGCCCTTTTCCCGTGTTACCCACCTTTTTGATTACCCGGAGTCCTCGTTCCATCCTTTCGGGCTGTTTGGTATTCGCAACTCGATGGCGTAACTGTAACGCATCCTGCCATGGTTCTTGCACAAGCACCTCTTTTGCAGGAAGTCCGGAGTTCAATCCTCCGTCGAGCCATCCCTCTTTTCCATTCCTTTTTCGTGCGCCTCTTACCGGACCTTCGCATCGCTCGCACACATGGTCCGGTGGTGTAGTGGTAACGCACTCTGTTCGCGTAGCTGGCGGGAAACTGAGATCATGGAGGGACCGGAGTTCGAATCTCCGATGGGCCTTTATGTTCTTTTTGTCCGTTGAGTAAGAAGATAGGGCGCGTTTTTGAACGATTCAGTGGCATAATGGTAACGCACTCCGCATTCCTATGTAGTTCGCGGTATGCTTCACGGAAAGTTCAGAGTTTGATTCTCCGCTGAGCCATTATGAAGAAACCCTTCTTTTTACAGTGATCGTCTTGGCTGGTCGTTCGACTCCTACGGCTTGATGGCGTAATGGTAACGCACTCCGTGTATCGATTGACGGAAAGTCCGGAGTTCAATTCTCTGTCAAGCCGTTTGACGGAAACCGTTCTTTTTTGCTTGGCCATTCGTAAGGCTTGTTGGCGTAGTGGTAATTGACATTTTTGGTAGTCCGGTCATGGCTTGGTGGCGTAATGGTAACGCGCTCCGTGTACCTAGCGTTCTCATATCGGCTGATGGAAGGTTCGGAGTTCGATTCTCTGTCAAGCCATAACTTTTTACTCGGAGTCGGTCCTTTGTGGTCTTGAGTTCGATTCTTGAATGGCCTGTTGGCGTAATGGTAATGCATTCCGTGCACCTATGCATTCGTATATCGGTTGACGGAAGGTTCGGAGTTCGATTCTCCGTCAAGCCACTAGTTGGGTCCGGATATCATTTTTAGTTGAAGGCTTAAGGTGTTGTTCTCGGAGTTCGGTGTTTTGAGGTCACGTCGGGAGCTATCACAATGTGATGGCTCACAGTGCATCGACAAAGGTGGTGTGCTGGTATTGTTGGATGTTGACAAAGACGGTGTGCGCACACAATGACAGGCCAACAAAGACGATGTGCATTGTGCAGGTGTGGTAGCATGCTGACACATGCACTGAGCATGAAGTGCATGAGTTCGGCACATGGTGGGCCTCTGACTCATCACATGGATGCGACTCAGCCGTAACCACATCATGCCATCACTTCGCGGAACCCCAACGGCATCTGCAGCCAAGTCGCAGCTCGTGCAAAGAAAACCTTCGTGACGCGTAAGAATTACTCACACACTTACTGATAACTGTTCTCAAACCATCTTTTATATTTGTGGTAACTATTTACATTTTAGCCAGTACTTAATACATGAAAGACATAAATGTTACAAAGACCTTTGTGGGATGTCACACACACATGCGGACCACATGCGTTTAAAGCACCCGCAGTCCGCATGCGTCGTTCTTTGCCCCTGGTGTTAGGTTCACCCACTGCAACTGAAAATCTACTTGATCAGATATTCCAAACCCATGAGAGATTGAAGCATCTTTATCTCTGTAACAGGTGCACTGAAACATCCTCCGACTCCCTGTCACGCATTTTCAACAGACCAAACCCTCTCCCGGTCCTCTCCTCCATTGAACTCATTGTGGATGAGCCCTTCAATGCCGCTTGGATTCTGGCCTTGTTTCACAATATGCACTAACTGTGAGACGTGCACCTCGACACTCACCCGCTTCCCCCACATTCGCTGCTATCTGCACTTCCATGGGCCCAGTTCACTCGCTTGTCATTGCATAGTGTCTTCAAACTCGGCGATGTGAGGGATATTCTCGTGCAATGTGCAATGTTACAGGAATGCAGGTTGGATGAGCTGACCAATGAAAACAGCCTTGAGCCGCCACAATTTTTCCATCAACTGATCCACCTGCAGTGGTTTGCGATTAGCTCTGATTATGAAATTTCTCCGGAGTTCTCCAACATGTTCTCATTTCCAAATCTTCTCTACTTGGAGATTGTATGCAGTGCTCTCTCGCCCGATGTTCTCCCCGACCTGTATGCCCAGTTGAAATACAGGCTAGAAGCTCTCGAGCTGCATGGTCCTGAGGTTGGACCAATCCTCATCCCGATCCTTCGCCAGCTTCCAGCTCTCCACAGATTGTCTCTGGAATTTTGCTGTGTTGACGATGGACTGTTCAAGATATTCACATACGACTCTGAGCCTGTTACTTCGTTCGCCCTCCCCCAACTGACATCGTTAACCATCATCGAAAACAACTGATATCTGGATGGCTTTTTTATCTCCGATATGGTCGAGTTCGTGTGCGCACACGTCGGGAGTCTGGAATGGTGCTTTCCCGCTCTCACAGATGTTGAATGATGCCTTCATGGCCCCCGTTTTGTTGACGATGTCAAGGATTGCAGCCGCCTGCGCAACAGCTCCGTCAGGGTATACGGTCCGCGATTCCATTGACGAATCCTTCAGGGCGTTCATCCTCATTGCTGTGCATTGCATCTCATGACCCAGCAGCGATTATGACGCCAGACCGGCTTTGTCGCACAGCGATTCTCAAGATCGAATATAATGAATTATCCATCATCGGCCTTTGCATTGGGTTCAATCCATCCGGTTCACAGCAACAAAATTCATACAAATGCACCTTTACTGGACGTACATCCATGGACTTCCTCGTCTCCGTGCTGAGCCTCACCACTGCACAGCTTCAATGTAGATAATCTAGCTTTGAGGTAGTTTGGGGACTGTATGTGCAGATTTTGCGACAAGTCTTAATGTGATGCCTTGCCGTGCGCAGAGAGGCCTCCTTCTCTCTCCTCTTCTCCCACTGCACCCTCATCTGCTTCAGCCCCCCCCATATCCCGTGCCCCCAATTCCCACTCTCGCAGCAATAGTGCCACTGCCGCACCGGCCACCCCCCTCCCCACCAATGCAACCCCCGCTGATGTAGCGGCGTCCGGATACCCGGACAAAAGCCCCGCCAAAGGCAAGACCCCCATCAGCAGCCTCCATTTCAACAAAACCCCCTCCAACACGTATAGTACATGGAATCAAAAGCACACACATCTGCTCTCCAACTTACCCGTTGTAGCTGGCTCATCCGTCAAGGGCAAGGCGTGCGCTTTCGCCACAGCCCACCCCAACGCCTGCAGCAGCAACTCTTTTGAGCCGCTCTCTGCCCTTGAAGAGCACATAACTGAGGAAATAATTGTGGCAGACCTTATTGGTGTCCCCATTGCCAGTATGGTTGGAGGAGGCAGTATTAGCTCCCTGGATCTATCAGTGCGTTCACCACGCGCCCGCTACGAGCCCCGCTAACCCCCCTCCGTCAGAACGATAGCATCTTGGCGCCGATAACGTCGACGCCGCCATGCGACTTCGCAAAGGAGCTCGCACATGCTCATGTGAGAGCCTCCAGCGCGCCTTCCTCTGCGTCCGTGTCCCTGTTGACTGCACCCCCCCCATTGCCACCGCCAAGCTGTTGTTGTCCCCCTTTCTCGACCCCGCAGAGGACGCCCCCTCTCCATCGACCACCGCCACTGGCACGCCCGCTGGCTCACCCTCCACGGCCACTACTGCTAGCGCTCCTGTCGGTGCCACAAACCCCGCTACCATGGAGCGTACCACTGCCCCTGCAGCTTGCACCACCGCTGCAGCCACAGACACCTCGATGCCCATGCTCCCCGCTGTCGCCCTGCTGAGCCCCGCATTGAAGGCGCTGCCCTCGGTCACTCTGGCAAATCTAAAGGAGAGCTTGAGCAATGATCTAGCGGCTGATATGAGCAGTACCGGCGCCCCGCTTGCACCCACTCCCTCAGGTAAGTCCCCAGCCGTGACCCCGCTCGTCCTCTATTCTGAACGAATCTTTCTCAGCCTCTACATTGGCCCCCGCCACTGCTGCCCCACAGGCAGTGACTTCCAGCGCCTTCCCGCAGGCCACCCCCGATCCCGACGGCACACGCGCGGCCGCTGCAAATGAGTTCGACTCAGCTCTCACCGATGCTCAAACAGCGCAGCGAGCCCCCCCCCTCGCAGGCTGCCCGCGCTCGAGCAGACCGTGCCGTCGCACAGCTCCTCGCCTCCATCGCCCTCTGGGCTACAATGCCCAGCATCGTGCAACCCGCTGTGAGCCTGCCCAGGGCTGCTGCAGCGGGCGCGACTCTCTCCTTCGCTGCTGCTGTCACCGCGCCCCGCCCCACAACGTGCTCGCAGATGCGAGGTGTGCAGCACCCGAGCGCTAGCACCCCTCCCACTTCCTTGCCATCCCCCACAATGTTGCAGCCCACTGCACAGCCCGCCGCGCTGCATGCCTCTGGCGCCGCCGCTACCACAGCACACGCAAACACGGCCAACCCCACCCTCACTGCTCTGCCCCCCACTGCCGCAAACGCAAACATGGCCAGCCTTGCCCCCAGCGCTGCGCCCACCAGCCCTGCCCCTGGCGCTACGCCCGCCAGTGCTGTCCACATGAGCGCAGTCAACCCCGCCCCTGGCGCTGCACCCGCCGGCACCGCCAACACAAATGCGATCAACCCTGCCCCTGGCACTGCACCCACCAGTGCTGCGAATGCGAACACAAATGCGGTGATCCATGCCCCCATCGGGACCGCCGCTGTCGCTGCCCCAGTTGGCAACACTGTCACACTCTACACCACCCCGCCCCCTGCAAGCTTCCACGTCTACGGATGGGATGAGAAGACAGTGCGGGAGAGCATTAGTGACCACCACCTTGCGAAGTGGGATGCCCCCAGCGCCCTGAAAGCCTTCGTCTACGAGTGGAATGCGAAGTGCCACAATCCGATGGGCACGACAGTCGAAGACATCAAAACCACCATCTCCCACATCTTCGGTTGTCCCGCCCCCCTTGTTGGACCGGCGGAGCCCGCCGTCGCGTCTGCCACCTCTGGTGGCCCCTACGTCTATCTTATGAAGGGCCTCACCACAGCGCAATTCCAGGCCCTTGTTGACGCCCTCTGCTGGTCTGTCGCCAGTGGGAAAACTCTCTTTGTCATCCCGTACTCCCCCATAGGGCATGAAACCATCCCATTATTTTACGGAAATACGGCCTGTAAAAACGGTTATGTCCCCATACCGTCAGCAGGTCTCATGCTGTCTCTGACGGTACGGGTACGCCACGGGTGGACCCGTTTACGGTGTGCCGTAACCAGCTGTTTACACGTAAACGGGTTGGTGAAACAATCGGAAACAGCTGCTAAAGGGGGTACGCAGTGGTGCACAAGCGTCCATGACTGCCAATAACTCCACCGACTCGGAGGACTCCACCTTGCATTTTCTCGCGCTACCTCCGTCAGGGATGCTGTACATACTCTGACAACAACGCTTTGGCTGACAATCAACACTCTCTTCTTCTCTCGCCCTCTCTATTCCTTGAGCAAGTGTCAGTGTCCATCAGGATTGTTCAGTTCATCTTCAGTTAGGTCTAGATGTCCGCTGGAGTCCTTACCATTTTTTTTTGCTCCCCAAAGTCTGGGTTTGCGCCACTTGGGGTACTCCAACCATTTTTGAAATTGTGGCTCTTCGCCTGCTTTTGCACCACTA